AGAATCCGGCGAAAACTAACCAACAAATATAATTAAATATATTTTTTTAAAAATTATCCTTATTCCAAACCAACGCATAAAAAAAACAATATACTATAGATAATAAATAATATATTTGTATTCATATTATATAAAATAATAATATATATATATATATATATTATATTTTAACTATTTAATATTTGTATGTGTTTTGATTTGCCGTTGCTGTGCCGCTATTGCCTTGTCTTCCCATTCGTCTCCGAATTTCCTTAGATATCTCCCAATCTATCTACCTGCGCGATCGCCGTTTTGGTTTACCGCTGCTATACCGCTATTGCCTTGTCTTCCCACTTGTCTCCGTACATCTCTCCACACTTCTCTGCCTCATGGCCATTTTGGTTCGCTACTGCTGCGCCGCTGCTGCGAAATTTCCGCGCTTGTCTCCTTACCTTTCTATCCACATATCTGCTTGTCGATCGCATTTGTCTGCCTGTGTGATCGCGGCTTTGGTTTATCGCTGCTACGTTGTCTACCCACTTATCTCCCTACACGTGTCCCCACTTATCTGCCTGTGTGATCGCCGTTTTGGTTTGCTGTGGCTAAAGCCTTTCATGAGTGGGAGCTCAAGCGCCATGGCATGGGTTTTGGAGTATCCCGGAACAGGGATGGATTGACCTTGGGACTGGAAGGTGACACTCCCAATGGACTGGGAGAATGGTCCTCCTGTTGCTGGAACGGCTGCTGCTGGCATCTTGGAAAGCTGGTTGTATGACCTTCCAGACTCTGCTCCTGCTACCAGTGAAGACCTGATGGATCATGTGTGCTGACCCGGAGAGGTCGAACTCGTTTGAGTTCTGTTGAGCTTGGCTCAACGAATTTTGACGATGTGAATTTCCTTGACCAAAAAGGTCTGAGTTTTGATCAGGTTCTGATGTAAAATAGATCACCCATGGCGTGAGGCATCGTAGACCTCGTGAGAAATCTCACGTAAGCCCCATGGCTCCAAGATCGATGGAGATGAAGCCAAAGCCACAAACGCCGTTTTGGTTTGCAGCTGCTGCGCCCTGTCTCCCCATTTGTCGCCTTACATATCTCCCCACTTATCTGCCTGTGTTGTTTTGGCTTGTCTTCCCACTTTATTTCTCTGTATCTCTCCATTTATCTGCCTGTGTGATCACCCTTTTGGTTTGCTGCTGCTGTGCCGCTGCTGCATTGTCTCCACTTGTCTCCTTGACATGTCTCTTCGCTTCTCTGCCTGTGATCAGCGGCAAACCAAAATGGAATACAGGCGCCCTGGGGAGACATGTTAGGAGACAAGTGGGGAGACAAGTCAGCAGCGGCGCCAGCAGCATCAAGCACACTTGTCTGCCTGTCTCCTTAATTGTTTCTGCATTTGTTTGTCTGGCGATCGGCATGTTGTTTGTCGCTGTCTCCTTACACGTCTCCCCATTTGCCCACCTGTCTGTTTGGCGTTTTGTCATGTTTTGTCTGCTGCTGCTACCTTGTCTCCTTGCTTGTTCCCCCCTTGTTTTGTTTGATGGGCGCGCACTCAAGTTGCACTGGAATGCCTAGTGGTACATACAGCCCACTGAACACACCTTCTGACTTACATAAGTTTTGTGTTTTGCACCAGCTACACCGCTACACCAACTTGGTATGGAAGCCCACAGCTCATTTGAACACCTTTTGGCAAATTCATTCCAACAGCATGTAACTGACAAACACATCTTGAGCGAGGAACCTCACAAAATAAATAAGAACTCAGCCGCACTGCGCAACAGTGCTTGTGGTTGTTCGGCCTCGACTGCGTGCCACAAGAAGGAGCAGTTGCTAGAAGTCTGCATGCACAAATCAGTGAGACCGCACACATCTGATCAGTTTTAGAAGTTATAGTCAGTCAAATGCTTGATTTGATCTTTCTTCAATAATCCAAAAAAGTATTTTTTTGACAATAACTAATCAAGTCAAATCGGCGGTTTGTCAAAGCAAATCGATACCTCGCACTTTGCTCTACCTTACTAGATCCCAGGGCTACCTGGCCCAACAACTCCTGGATACGGAGAACTGTTCTGCCGGGCTTGCGCTGCTGTCTATGATTGTCCATGTTCCAGTCAACTAGGGAAACCAAATGAGGTTCTTCTTTGGGAAAAACACACGTATTTGATCTAATCTAAAAACTACACATTGGAGTGACGATTTGAACAGGTATCAAGAGGCAACAAGGCACAACGCCAAAATGACAATTCCAGGCAATGCCTACATCTTATAGAGACTCTACAAACGTGTACAAGTAGGTTCTTCTGAAAGGCTTGTATACTGTGTTGATTGTGTTTTCTTCGATCGCAATGGCTCAAAGTGCTTTTCTCTTGAAGAGCCATGCACGTTTGCTTCGAGCTACCGAAGACACACAACCTTCTTTTCTGCAAGCGTCTGCAAATTTCAGAGTCAAAAATTAAACACAAGAAAACAGGTACGGAAGGGAGGGGGTGACCACCAGCAATCTGACTTTGGCCACTTCTGCTGGATGCTCCAGCCCCCAGCCAACAGGGATCAAAAATTAGAAGAGACACTGAATTGGAATCATAAGGCTTCAGAAACCATTTCTTCGTTGTGCTCAAGGTTGTAGTGGTCTGCCAGGCCAGGATGTTGTGGATGTATCTCAACCACCTGTGTTTGTTGCAACAAGTCACAAGACTGCAAATTGCTACTTCTCAACTTTGTGTGCAATAACCCTGCTTCCTGTGCAAGCCAGGGTAAAAGTATCCAAGAACCAAGGTACTGGGAAGAAAAAGGCATACCCTGAAAACTGATTCAACGTAACCTTCCTCTGTGCATCATTTTGGTCACTGGGGAAAACTCAGGGTCCTGCTCACGCACGCTTGAGCCAAGAAAAACGCACCCAGTTGACGATCAGCTGACTTGCAACACACAAGCTCAAAAGCCACTCCATGGTGCGAACGGACTATATGTGCCCTTGCCTGCCCTAAGGCCCTAGTTTGGATCTTAGAACAGTGTCCATGGATCCATCAACCTCAAACCTTAACAATCGTTAAAGCATGTTAAATTCCTACAGCCGCTTAAAACAATCCTTCACACCCTTCACACTTATAAACGCATTGCAGAAGCATGCAGAAGCTGTCTGCAGCGGCTCTGAGTAGCACCCAAGCATGCCCGCACAAAATTCTGAAGCTTTTGCAGCTCAAAGTATCCAAAGACCAGGGCCGAAAGGCTGCGTGACTGCCTCGTCCGTTTGTGTTACCCACATCCACTCCATGAGTTCTTTTTCGGCGCACCGCTCAAACGACACAACACTGGCCTTTGACTTGAGCTCTCCTTTGCTGAGTGATTTTGCTGTATGTGCGCGAGGCTTGGCTGCTTTTGGACCGTTCACCCACCAGATTTGCAATGCAACGATTTCACTTGTGCGTGCTACATACTTAGTTTGAGCTTAATTTTGCGCGTCGGCAACTCGGAGCCCCTTGCAGTAGCATTCTGGGAGACGTGATCCAGAGAAGCTCCAAGACAGAGTTGCGAAGCACGAATCCCAAATCACGAAACAAATCACAAATTATGAATCATACCATACATGACTCACGAATCACACGCTCTTCCGCGCAAGTGTCTTTCACAAATGTTGCAAGCTGTAGGCAGCGTAGGGTAATGATGTTTTTAACATTTTTTCTATTTTTCGACACGCCACGCCTCCAATGCCTCGGTGTTGAAGTGTGCTGGCGGCTTCCTGTTGCCCAATTTGGATGGGAGTGGAAGAGGTGGCTTCTGGGTAAATCGCGTGACGATCTGCCGAGCACGGAGATCCAACTCCTCTTGCGATGCCATCTGTACCCTGCCAAGATGGGGCAAATCATGGTGACATCAAAGTTGGGTTATCGGAGTTCGAGCTCAATTCATCGGAGTAGCGTTCTTGCTCCTAGTAGCGATGCCAGGAGCCCCTAGTAGCTTCTTGTTCCTAGTAGTAAGGCCAGGAGCCCCTAGTAGCGTCCTTGCTCCTAGTCCCTATTGGAGTTATATATTTTGACCAGATCTGCTGAAACTGAGATCGTACATGTTTCTGAAGGCCAATTTTTGCCGAAGGCCAGGCCCATGGCATGTTTTCCTGGGGCGTCGGCAAGCACATGATTCCAATCTCTTCAAAGACAGCCTGAGTGCCACGCGGTTCGCCTACACCTGCCTGTCTACGCTACTTGGATGAATGCCCGCAAACATCCAACGCATAAACTTGTTGTTTTTTCCAACACAACAGTTTCAACCCAAATCTATGCTTGACATCGATGCTGTTGATGAGACCTTTGAGGAGCGAACGTGACACCATTTATAGCCTATAGTTTTGAACATTAAGCCTGCATCCCACCGCCACCACTTCTTGTGTAATCGCCTTTAATTACAAGGCAAATGGCCAAGAAGAGCGCGGTGAGAAAAATGCAAGGTGCAGGAAGGCTTCGGCGAAGCTCATACGGGTTTGGGCTTTGAACAACTCACATTTCTAAGGCTCTGAGACTCTGAGAGGGACTTTTCCAATGTATATATCTGCTAAGCAGTCCCTAAGTTATTCGACTTGACACATTCGTTGAACACCAAAATAAGCTGAGGGTTGTGTTAATGGAGGTTCGCTCTAGAGTTTCTGATACAAATTCCTAACAACTCCCATCTGACAAGAAACTCTGATTGTCATTGCCAGAACTGGCGCCATGTCTCTGAGGTGAGGATTGCTGGCTAGGTGCATGTAAAGGTCATGGCCTGCAGGAGTCCCCAAGAACGGTCCAAAGCAATGCTGATTCTGGTTTTGCAAGTTCTGAAAAAACAACGCCACATTTTTCTGTACCAGGGACCAGGACTGCAAAAACTATCTTGGAGCTGCACAATCTGACATGGGGGTATATAAGGTAACTTACTCTTGCACTTACTCATGCGCCTTAAAACTGTTCAGTGGGCATTGATAGCATAAAGGTCAGGCTTTTAATGACGTCTGTAACCCTAGAAGACACAAACCTGGACGTCGGCTAGGCACCTGGGACCTGAAAGTCCTCGTCAGCAAACACTGGCAGAGCCATGCACGGCTTTTGGCCGAGTTGGACCATCCAAGTTGCCCAGTACACCGAGTCGAAGCAGCCTAGCCGAACCGGAAGCTGGAAGACATGAAATGGCATGAAACTGTGCCCACATCTGGTTGAAAGAACCTATCTCGTGGACCATGCTTGCACAAAAATCAAAATCACCATTGCCACTTGCTACTGCGTTTTCTTAGCGCTGTTGTTCGGATTAATCCGGTCCACCTATTAAAAAACACGCCCTCCCCTAATAAGGAAATCTCGATCGCCTTTTTTTTAACAGGGGTCCCTGAAATCGGGGTGGTCCAAACTAGGGTCACCTGGGAAGGGCTTCAAAGCCAAAAAGTCACCCAGGAAAATTTTATACAAACTCCTCTATTAAACTCGTATCAAAAGTTCAAAAAACCAAGCCTCCAGATCGAAGGGTCTTCCTTTCCCCTACAAGCGTGTTTATTAGAATAGTGATTCTTTATTAGACTAACAACATCTAACAACTATATAAAGCTGTCGGAAGGTGATGTCACTGTGCCATGCGGTTTTGCGTGACCTCGGTGGAAAATGCGTTTGCGTGAGTCCATGCCATTGGGGGAAGGAAAGCTTGCTGGTGTAAACACGGCGTGTCATGGTGGATAGACAGGGTGGACAGAGGTGGGCAGTTGCGGTCGTTTTTGGAACCTAATTTTAAACAATCGTCCAAAATGGGCAATGTTGGTAGTTTTGTAGCCGTTTGAACAGGCGGCGATTTAAACACCAATATAAGCCGTATTTAGGGGCTTCGGACGTGATTTATTTTAAATAGGGGTCCGTTTTGTAATAGGTAACTGTCCTCGGGATTACGGGGTTCCCCTGAGGCACTTCCACAATAATACAATAAAACGGCATGTTCTTTTCGCTCTGTCCGGCCCTTCAGCTAGATATCCTTTTATAGTCCTTTACCGAAAACAAAATAAACACAGTTATACAAAAATCGATCGGTCACGATCGATCGATGTTTTTTAGTTATATAATTATCCCGGGATTGTGGGCGGTTGACTTTTTGTCATGGCCGCTGGTGGGAGCGGTGGCCGGTGGCGGTGGCCGGTGGCGGTGTCTGCCGGCAGTTGTTGGCGGCTGCTGGCTGGTGGGAACGATGTGGGGCGATGGCCGGCGGCGGGTTCGCGGGGCGGTTGCGCCAGTGGTTGGCAGCTGCGCTGCATTGAGCGTGGGTTAAATCAGAAACACTGGGCAACGGGCGTCAGCATGTAAGATCCAATCCGGCGTTTGCCACGGAACAGCATATGGCTTCAAAAACGCGCGAAGATATAGTCAGTGCACTTGTAGATTTCGCACAAATCCGCAATGCAAAAGGAAGAGCAAAAAGCGGATGTTGTCTTTTAATGTCATTTATACACTCGGCGGCCGGCTGAGCATCAAGACCGTGGCCCTGCAAAGACTGCCCACGTCAATCAGGGCGGACCTGAGCTTCAAACGCGCGTAGCGTACACGCACACACACAGAGACACACTCTGACATTGGTTCTCAGTTACACTCAGTTCCCACGTTGAGAAGGAAGGCGAGGGAACGGCAAGGTGGCAAAGTCCGCTGAAAAGTATTGTTCAACATTGTTCAAAATGGCGGCAAGACAATCAAACCGGCGGCGCAGCTGCTGGGGAAGAGTAGGTTTGGGGGAAGTATCGTGAAGGACCATGAAACCAAAAAAAGCGAGAGTGGACAGCTTGTCAACAGTTGAAAAAGGAAAGCAGGTACGTGAACCTGGCGTCCCAGGTTCATATCCTCTCCAATCATCAGTAGCTTCGTTGGCCACAGACTGATGAAAGGAGCTGTGGCCCCCTGCCTTGTTGAACAGTGGCATTAAACCCTTTGGTACAGGGGGTGACACACACACACAGAGCCGTATTCGGCGCGGTCAAAGTAGTAGTGAGGCCAGGGGCCTCCAGTAGCGTCCTGACTCCCCGGAGAACATTTGTACAGAAAGCGCCAATTGTTGGCGCTGCGAAAAACTATTAGTCACCTAAAAAGCCTTAGAAAGACAGACAAAGCAAACAAAACAAAAGCAGACTAAGAGGGCAAGAAAGAAAAATAGGGGTAGTTACGAGGCCCACTTAGTTAAACGAAAGTAGTTTGCGAGCGGGACATTCGTCTTAAACCGCCCGGGTAGCTAGCAATAGACTAGGAGAAACAGAAGGAAAGGCACCAACACACAAGTGTGTTGAGCGCGATTTCCTTCTGTTGCTCGAGTAGCGGGTGGGGTAGCAGAGGAGGCCCAGGGGCAGGGAGGGGGTGCACGATTAATTCGTCCGGCCTGTGAATACTTAGCAGTATGAATCACAAAACGCAAAGCCGACGCAGAACGAACTCAGCTGGTCGATGTATCCCGTTTTTTGGCCCGGCGGCCGTGGAAGCAGTAAATTCAGTTAAGGTTGGTCAAGATGTGAATTCCTGTGAAAGGTGGAAAAGCTCAGTTACACGATTTCCTGAATGAAACGGCGCCTCCTTGCGGAGGATCACACTCAGCACCCGAGTGGGACGGCTGAGCGAGACACACTCTGACATTGGTTCTCAGTTACACTCAGTTCCCACGTTGAGAAGGAAGGCGAGGGAACGGCAAGGTTGCAAAGTCCGCTAAAGTATTGTTCAACATGGTTCAAAATGGCGGCAAGACAATCAAACCGGCGGCGCAGCTGCTGGGGAAGAGTAGGTTTGGGGGAAGTATCGTGAAGGACCATGAAACCAAAAAAAGCGAGAGTGGACAGCTTGTCAACAGTTGAAAAAGGAAAGCAGGTACGTGAACCTGGCGTCCCAGGTTCATATCCTCTCCAATCATCAGTAGCTTCGTTGGCCACAGACTGATGAAAGGAGCTGTGGCCCCCTGCCTTGTTGAACAGTGGCGTTAAACCCTTTGGTACAGGGGATGACACACACACGTACAATTTGTGGAACTTTGTGCACTGATAGCCCTGTCTTCTGTTCGACTTCGCTCGGAGACGGTCTTTTACAGTGTGGAGACGTGCAATGTTGTGAACGTCGTGCATTTCCTGAAAGTGGGCGCAATTGGGGGCCGGTGCAGGCTCCCTTGAAGTAAAAACACTTGTTCATATGGTGCGCGAGAACCGCCTGCGATGGCCGGAGAATCCTTCTGCGCCCGACACTGACCCATGATGAGGTGACAGCTGTCATCGTGGACCAGAGGGCCCTCCTGTTGAAAGTTTCTCGAGTCGATACCTTACAGTATTGCGTTGCCTCGTGTTGAAGCTGGATAACCGGATCTGGTTGGAAGGACTTGGTGACCAACTCCGCAAGATCACAGTGACAGTGACTTCCTCTCTCTTGCACTGTGCAGCCGTCTTCTGCCGCGCGTACCAAAGTCGAGGAACTGCTGAAGAGCTGCCAAGCATCACTGGGGCAGCAGGGCTGCGGTACAAAGGAAAACAAGAGAACAGAAAGAAAGAAGCACATCGCGCTGCAATGCGAATCGATTTGCAAAGCCAAGACATCAATGGCAGCAGACATTTGGCCGTGGTGAGCAGCTGCAGCACGCACTGCCTGCAAAGATGGATCCGAAGTCTCAGCGTTCTGTGCGAGTTCGTTGGTTGGGAATCACAAGCTAAGGGCAAAGGGAAAAGAAGCTCTGCTTTGAGCAGCGAACCTTTTCAGCAGGAGCCCTAGCCAAAATAGCATTAAAGGCGCCGAGCACGACGCATCATCCTCCATGGCAAGCCGGAGAAATAGCCCGGATTCGCCACAATGTCAGTCCACCTAAAAATTGTTGCTGAGGAGGCGTGTCCATTTAGGCAGTTCAGGGTCTGTCTCCAACATGCTTTGTGGTCTGGTAGGGCATGATGCCGCGCGACTGGGGTCGACATGGGTCGACGCAAAGCAAGATAAGCAAGAACCGCTCCGTCGTTGCTGCTGTGTGTTGGCCCTGCAGGCCACGCGATGGCTATGATCTTCGACAGGTGGGCATTGCCCAAGATGCTGAGGCTGATGCTGAAAGCTGTTTGCTTCAAACGTCGTAGAAACTCTTGTAGAGACTCAAGCTTTCATAAGCGTCGTCCAGGTTCCAACCTTCCCCAAACCAAAGCCACAAGGCTTCTTTGTCCTTCTTGCTCCCATACTCGACTTGAAGGAACTCGGAGCTGCAACGTAATAAGAAGTCTGACAAGAACGGTGACGCTCTGGACAGTGACATGGGTTTCCGTCTCGCTGTCTCGCTGCATCCCTTCAATGTCTTACCATGTTGACCTGCCGTCAGCTTCCTCCTGGCAGCAAGAGGAAAAGAGGAACGGGAATGGGAAGCCTCATCTGATGACATCGGTGCTGAGCCATAAACACATATAAAAAAAGTCGAAAAACATGTCAATAGCATTGTGCAGCTGCTCTTGCCCTTCTGAGGCTTTGCCACGCACAAACGCCTTGGCAGCTGGCAAGGCTGATGGTAAGCAAGAAGTCATGGATTGCCGGAGGCAAGAGTTGGGCTGAGAAGTTTTCGCGAGCTGCTTGGAGGTTGTCCTTGCTGGGGATTCACCAGAAGCTGCTGCTGGCGCGGGGCGCGACAAGCAAATTGATTGCGAAGCCTGGCGTTTGGACTACCAAAAGCAAATCTGTGGGAACAACACGTGCGTATGCGAGCCAGATGCGTAAGCGAACAGGGTAAGTGCGAGTATGCACCAGCTACTGTAGCGTTGAACAATTTCATATCTTATCTTTCAAATCACCCCTATGTGTGGTCTTCCTTGTTGGAGCGGAGTGAACTTTCTGGGACAGTGGTGGTTGGTGGGCGGTGGCTGGCGGCAAAAAAAGACTGACTATTATGTAAATTTTGGTAAGAATCGTTTTGTAACCAAAATCTGCACTAAGAAGGTCAATAGTCATTTCGTTTCGCAGCATTGCCCAGGTTCCTGAGCTATGGTATTTACCGAAAGGCGTAGTAACCACGGTAAACATCGACTTCGTTCTTACGAATTTTAGAAAAGCGCGGAACAACGGTAAGATATCGAACAAATTATGTATGTTTTTCTGTTCTCTTTGAGGGGGTTGCGACCGGTACCCGCTAGCAAACACTGCTCGCCAACTGCATGTTTTGACCGGCCATCTGGAAGCCAAATAAGTATGAATGCCGCAACACAAAAATCCCCCTCGTCCTCCGCTGCACACCACCACTGCGTAGAGCGTATTGTCAGGAACGTTGTCACCCTGCATCATGACCACTGTCTGGCTTGTCAAAGACCTGAACACTTTGGACACATCAGCGAACATGTGGTGATCAAGGTCTTTGAAGAAAAATGGTTGGGGCAACCACTGCCGGATTACTGTACTGATTAAGGGCTTTTGTTGCCTTTCGTCATGATTCATATCACTCACGTCTTTCGGCAAGGCCGATCTTTTCACCTCGCGCCTCATGAAGTGGAGGTTTATCAAGTCACTGATTACGAACGCTGCGGCAACAGCTTCGAAGTTGCCAGGGTCTGCCATGATGCAGCAGCTTTGCACCCTGACAGCCGCGTTGCAAGAGAGGGGTGTAAGGCACTCACGACTTCTCCCAGTGTAAGGATGTCTTGAAGTTGCACACAGCATGATCAACCCTTTAGCAATATATTCAGGGCTTTATCTGGTATCGCGAGTTCATATGTATATTATATAGTGTTTGTATGTTGTAGATAGGTACTAGTATGGTCAATGTTTTGAAACATATTGGTACGCGTGAATACGCCAGTTTGTGGCACAATGACATTGGAATCAAAAGGTGTACGATCTGTTGGCGCTTCTGCAGCCTTTCCTTGAATATCAACCTGGCGTCAAACCCCCCAAGGCAAACATGTCCGTCTCAAACACTTCTGTCTGAGGCGCTTTTCTGTGTCGTCGGATAAGCGTTTGATGTGGGGCGAGGTTCCAGTCAGCTTGTTTACCACGTCCACCATTGACTCCTGGATCAAGCGGACTAAGTTTTAAACACCATGCCAGGGTTGCGTCTTGTCCAACTCATGGATTCCAAGCGCAACTCATGGAGTCCGATTGTATAATGTGACCGGCTTGTGTCGAAAAATTAAGTTTTTCTTCTGGTCGACCCTTTTCCGGACACAGTTTTGGTGTGTTCCACACAACAAAATTGCATGAATGTGCCATTGCTTTGTCAAAGACTCTAAATTCAACGCTGTGGGAAGTGAGAACGTCTGCAAGCTGTTGATCCAGCGCAAAGATTCTTGAACGTCAGCCAAACTGATATTGTGATGCACAAGATGGACAATGTCTGGGACTAAAGTGGTATAGTCGTTGATGAAGGCCTGAGAGCAAGGTTTGAACATGTTTGAACATACTCCAAGTGCCTTTCTACTTAGTTTGGCTTTTGCCTCGCCTCATCTGGCTTTACATAGTCTGGCCAGGCAATCATGACAGAGTGCACACCATGTAGCCTCACCATGAAAGTGCTACCATCGAACACCAAAATCACAAGCAGCAGGTCTTGGCCCGCAACAGAAGGAGTGAACCTACTTGCACAGGCCGGGATCAATGATTATGGCTGGCCCGTTCTAGGTGGACCCGAGGGCCCAATGGTAGTGCATGCCTACCACAGCAAGTTACCAACAATCTCCGGCGAGGCCGCGGCATTGTGAGAAACACATGATGCATGGCTGGATGTGTGTCTCTGCTCAAGATGTGCAGGCAGTGCCTTGAGCTACCTCTATGCTGTGTACTTTGATTTCTCTCTTTTGGTCTTTGCTTTCCTCTATTGGTCCTAACTTCTCAGGCCACTTATCCACAATACATCTTGCTTGCTTGTTTCGCCGCTCTAATCTAAGGCTCCAAGTCTCAAGACCTGTGTCAGGCTGCAAACTAAACAGAAAAAACACGTAAGCGTGAAACATTTCGCTGCTTGCTTGTCTTTTTTCTATTTCCTTCTGCTTCTCCTTTCTTGACATTTTTCGGCTTGTTGCTACGTTCATTGGTTTTCTGTCCTTCATATTATATACTATATTCGAATACAGTATGACTTTCTAGTGTTACTAATTAGTGGTTTAAGGCCTGCTTTGAATCTTTGCTACCTCCCTTACTTTGTCTGCTACTTGTTTTCTCTTCTCCGTATCGATATTTTTGCCACCGTAACTGCGACCTGTGCGCAGCCCCCCTCACAACAAAGTACTCAGGGTTGAAAAGCACTATTGCTACCTCATGTGAACATACAAGCGTTGATACTGGTGATACTGGGCTGCCCGCCCACAAAGCTACCATAGATCTCTAACCAGCCTGATCTTCTCAGCCCGTCTGCCACTAGATACACTGTATACATCTGTATGCCTACATAAAATATGCAATCAAATACAGCATAATACAACCACATCAAGAAACATGAATTGTCCTGCTCAACGCGGGGCACACAGGAGGGTACTACGACCAGGTCCGACCAGAGTTTAGGGGCCATGTAGGTGGGTGGGTCGTAGGGTCGGTCAAGTAGGTCCACTTCAAACAAGGAGTGAGGAGGGTGGATAGGGAATCCATATGAGAGGGCACGTAGGAGATCCATGCACGTAAGAGGTAAACATGCTGGCGTAGGGAAGACCTCAGGATGACGCACGACGAAACCATCAGCAGGGTCCCCGAGGGTCCATCTAGAAGGAAAGATTAGGGTTCATTGAGGAGGCATCGTCCAGGTCCCTTGTGATAACGGAAAATCATACGAACTTGCGGGGCCGTCCCGGCTGTGCCCCAGCCACCACCTCTCATTCTCTCTCTCCCCCTCTCTCTGTCTCCCTCTCTCTCTCCCTCCCCCGCTCCCTCTCTCCCTTTCTACGGTTCGGCGCCCCGCCGCAGGCCTTGCAGTGGCAATTTCCCCCACACACCACTTGCGCTTTAAGATGTCGGGCGAGAGCAACACGATGCAAGTGGCAGTCTCATGACTCAAATGCCAAAAGAGCTTTGTGAGGTCGCTGAGATTGTCGCAATCCACCTTGGTTGTGTCCGAGTATTGGTCAGCCGTGCACGCACATAGTTGAGGACATTCCCATACTTCCTTCGGATCTTTAATTAGAGGAAGGGAGAAGGTTCACATGCCTTCGAACCTGCCTGGCAAACATTAGCGATCCGTTCTTTAATTGCACAATATTATACGTCTATACACCAGCATTGTTGCACACTGAGTCCGATCATTGTCTTGTTGTGGAATATGTTGCAGTCCCTGACAATTGTTTGTAGCAGGTGGGTGATGGACCATCACTCACCTGCTACAAGGATGGAGGGTTCTCATGGTTTCCAATAATTTCATCAAAAACAACCAGTACTGCTTCCAACGGGCTGCGAAGGTGGTGAATCGTTTACCACGTTGCAAGAGCAACATCTTCAGCCACCGTGCCACACTTCCGGCTTTGCTCTTGTGGTGTGAAATGAAGAACTTGTAGGTCTTCTCATTTCTGGTGCAAAACTTGAAAGCTCCGTAAACTATCAAGCCCAAGATTGAAGTGAACATAAGGATGAGGAGTGTCAAGCATGCAACAATCGTCAACTGTTCATTGACCTCACCTGCAACATGCAAGCCCAAGCTAGAGATGAACACTGTGGAGGCTGTGAGAAAGACATCCAACCAATTGCAGGCCATCATGTGCCAGGGTTTCCACGCAGCAGATATGATCGCACTGAGAGCAAGGACGACAGTCATCACAAAAGTGCCCGCACTTTGGGGGGCCAAAGGCAGCAAAACAAGTACGGCGTTACGAAGCAAAAGCCAAACAGCGAAAGGCTCGGCTCCTGGTCGAAAGCGACCAAACAGAAAGGAGCAGCCACGCATGAACCTCAAATCTGAGCTCTTAAGCCTGCTAGGCACTTGCAAGACCAGCCAAAAACTGAAGGCAAGGAAAGCAAAGGGTAGTAGGAATCCAAAAGAACTGATGAGGACCATCGTGAGATGCTGTGAGTCGCCGCAAAACACTGATGGATAGGCCCGCACCGTCGAAAGCTGGTTGGGATGAGTCTGGCAAATCAAAGGCGGCATCAAAGAAGAGCAAAAGGAGATGAAGATCACGATGCACGAAGAGCCGAGGACTTGAGTTAGTTGATGAAGTTGCCAGGTTTTGCCACGTCTCACGACGACCACGAAGAAATGGATAAGACAAAGAACCACCAAAAGCAAAGGCCTTAGATGTGTGTGAAGTCAGCGGTGCTACCAGTAGGCAACCCCAACGCCTCAAGCTTACTTCAGTGTAGAAATCGAGGCCGAGAGTCAGAACCATGGCGTGAAAGGAGAAAAGCGTCACTGCATTCTCTGGGGTGAGGCAATCTATAGATAAGAAGTTCAGCTCGAGGACCATGATTTCGGTAGCGGTCATCAAGGAGGCAATTGGTTCGCTCCAATTCAATCCAAATTGGTGGATTAGAGAAATGACCTTGCTGGACATGCACGCCATGTGCCTTGTGGGTATATAGTCACAATCATTTGAGGATGTCTAACCACAATTGAATGTTGGCTTGAAAAGGATCTTTGATAGGGTGAAAAACTCATGACATGAGCTGGAAAGAAAACCCGGTACGCAAATCATTATCCCAACAGCAAATCGTGTGATTTACAAGCGGCGGTCTTCATGTTTGGTGGCGGTGGTGGCGATGGCGGTGGCGGTGGCGGTGGCGGTGGTGGTGGTGGTGGTAGTTAGTAGTAGCAGTAGCAGCAGCAACAATAGTAATAAACATATAACATAGTAGTAGCAGCAGCAGCAGTCGGAGAGTTGGAGTAGGAGTATATAGGAGTAGGGGTAGGAGTAGGAGTAGGAGGAGCAGCGGCAGCAGTGCGGTCGTCGTCGTCGTCGTCGTCGTCGTCGTCGTCGTCGTCGTCGTCGTCGTCGTCGTCGTCGTCGTCGTCGTCGTCGTCGTCGTCGTCGTCGTCGTCGTGGTCGTGGTAGTGGTAGTAGTAGTTGTTGTTGTTGTAGTAGTAGAAGCAGCAGCAGCAGTAGCAGTAGCAGCAGCAGCAGTAGTAGTAGTAGTAGTAGTACTACTACTACTAGTAGTACTAGTAGTAGGAGTAGGAGTAGGAGTAGGAGTAGGAGTAGTAGTAGTCGTCGTACTAGTACTGGTACTAGTGGCGGTGGTGGTGGTGGTGGTGGTGGTCATTCTGACTGAAATGCAAACGTCGTTACGTTGTTTAGAGGTCGTTCAGAGGTCTTTTTTTCGCCGAGAGATCTGGCTAAATACTGTCCATCGAAAGTGAGCACCAGCAGCAGCACCAGCACGAGCAGCAGGAGGAGCAGGAGGAGCAGGAGGAGCAGGAGCAGCAGAAGGAGCATGAGCAGCAGGAGCAGCAGGAGGAGCAGGAGCAGCAGGAGCAGCAGCAGCAGCAAATACATTATGCACGTAGTTAAGGAGGTCGTTCCAATGTCGTTTTGGATGTCGTTCGGAGGGTCGCTCCTCAGCTAAATGACACATTCCACAAAGACAGAAAACATCAGAAATAGCTGCGGCGGTGCGTGGAATTCTGAACGAAGGAGCCCATAATACTACTTTACATCAACTCTTTTTTTCTGGCTCACATGGCCTTGAAGGGCGGATATCAAGATTTGCAAAGCCTGTCCAATTTCAGTTCCAAGCATTTCTTCGCTGACTTGAAGGGCCGAAAGTCCGAGCATGAGACTTGCGACGTTTCCTCCAAAAACGAAACTTCTGTAAAGTTCCAAGGAACTTGAAGGGATACCGCCAACTGTCCCATGCTGCATGAAACAATAATGAAACTTTGAGAGGGCCCCCCTCTTGCATCCTTGGCAGCAAATGCAAAATATGCTATTGTAGTCGCCACCAAGAGAAGGACAAGCAAGATGCTAACCAATGCATAGTCACCACCTTCGCATGGAACACCTCAGTGCATGTTTGGCGTCAATTGTTTGCGCAGTTTCAATAGCATTAGCGAGAGGAAAAGGACATGAACATTGAATGCGCACCATTGGACCTTAAACCTGAGGCCAAGATGCACTCACCCCCCTGCGCGTGCAATCCAGGCAAGCACGCGCTACAAGCTACACTTTGAAAATCCCTGCCAACGGCGCAGGTTCCTGGGTAGCCACCAGGGCAGTACTCCTTCTTTTTGCACTTGAAGACTAAACCCACGTTGTCTGCGGGTGAGTAGTAGCCTGGTGAGGAGGTCACGAGAGTGGGAACTCGCAACAATTGAGTCAGTCCCATCAAGAAACAGTGTGTTCAAAGTTTTGGCTCAATGGTTCATGTGCTACTTGCTACCGCCAGCAAGCGTTGTTGATGGATTCCTATGTGGCGTGAGGAGCTGGCTATCTATATGGCAAAGCTTTTGTATATGTGTATATGGGTGGCTGTCAACATGTCTTTTCCCCAAAGTTCATTTTGGCACACCTGGTGGAGGCCCGCTTCTAAAACTCCTGAATGTTGGACCCATAATTAGAACATGTTAAGGCACATGTATTTTACATACGCAGGGGAAACATATCAGATAACTGCAAAATTCTAGCTAGCGCGGAGGCGGACTCTTGCTGCTGATGGGTTGAGACGACAGTTTGCATCAACCCTCGTCATTGGACCCATGCTGCGGCAAACGTGAGGAACTAATGTTTGCCAAAGTGAGCCTAAATCAGCTGAGCCGTGTACCACTGATCATGAAGTGCACCTTCGTCTAGTCTAGCGCGGCGAGCGCGGAGCTAGCGCAACAAATATCGCCGGTACTCCAGTGAGTGAGGGAGGGAGCGGGGGAGGGAGGGAGGGCGTGAAGGTAGAGAGGAGGACAAGAAGGAGAAAGAGGAGAAGGACAATCCTTTGACAACACACAAGCACACCTACAAACAATGGAGTGTGTCAAGGGCCCCATCTTAGTTCACACTGATTGCCTCTCCATCGTACAGTGCTTTAATGAGCTAGTGACCTCGGGGGTTCCCAATCCACATTCGGTCAATGCAGTCTTGGTGGCACCATGTCGCTTCGGTTCTTCGTGTTAGGTCGCTTCAGTGCCGAGATCCCATCTCCGTACAATGGGTCCCCTCACATGTTGCTGATCAAGTGCCTGATTCCTTGCTTACTGAGGCATTGGCACAACAACTGTGCTTTCGATTTTGCGCAATATAGGCAGGCTGATAGGATTGCACGTCAGGTCACTGCCAGCCATGCTCCTATTCCACCCTCATGGGATGGCCCACTGCAAGCCAAGATCGTTCAGCACCATGTGTGGTGGGCCAACCTACACCAGCGTTTGGGTGATCTAGTGCCAGAGCCTGAGCCGATTCCTGCAGCTTCACATCAGGGACAGGACCGCAGCGAAGATGTTCCGCTTACTGTCGAACTGGCCAGCCAATGGCTACCTCGTTGGCACTGGGACACACCGAGAGCCGCCCGAAAATCCCGCGGAGGTGTCCTCCTCCCGAAGGTTGGAAATTCAGTCCTGTTAGTTGGGTGGGTGACCCTGCTCACCTTCTTGCAAGGGTGCAGATGGTTGAGTTCGCCTGAGAATGCAACCTCCATCATTGAAATCGCCTTTACTTTCCACTTCGTAAGCTTCGTCTCTGCTGTGATGATGCGGTTTCAACGGTTGATGCCCTCGCTACGAGACTTCGAGCGATGCTCAACTTCTTTCGCATTTGGCCTGACCAGCAATTCCTCCCTGCAATAACAGATAAGGGCAGGAAGTCAAATGGGCGTAACTTCCCAGCCGGGAAAATCCCTGGCTACGAGCTGTACATTGAATGTGATGTCTTGTTGGCAATTGCACGTGGTTTTCATTTGGGCTGCAAAGACCTCCTGAACGGTTGGTCTTTTGCACTTGACAATCTCTTCTGATTGTCCTTCTCTTGCTTTAGTTTGTCTCCATGCTCCAGAGCGGGCGTGGAGGCCAGTCGTTAGGTCACATGACCTTCAGATTGGCACCGCTGCGTAAAACCCGGAGCCCCAACCCTTGGTAAGTTGACCTCCCAGGTAGTGTATTCTTTTCATTTTTTGTGGTCAACCCAGGTAACCGGTTTTTACACATAGCCAAATCGTGGTCACATATCACAGAGAACCCAGCGCCGACCTAGCGCTGCCTTGTGGAATCAATGTAGTCTGCTGGGGGCCCGCTTCCAAACGAAGATCTAAAATGTATGCTGCATTTTAAAAAACACAGCTCATGCTGCAATGCTTGAGCCGGACCGTTTCCTGGCAGAAGTGTGAGCGCCGAGCCAACGCACGCCGATCCTGGACAAAACCCATCAACAAGTGCTGTCCAGAAGAGGGCGTGCACCTATGTGTGTCCTTTTCCGTTTTTTTTGTTTTTGTTTTGTTATTTCAATCATTCATATCTTGGCTTGTTGAACTGCGGCAAAAGCCATCAAAAGGTTTCATGAGTAGGTAGTGCGATCAAAACAATCAAAACTCACTTAGCTGGTCAATGCCAGCAAAGTCTGTCCTTCAGGGCATTGCACGCAAAGCCCAGAGACCATGTGGGCTCCTTCCCTGCATTCACACAGCTGCCGTGACGAAGCCCCTTGCACCTGGATCCACATTTCACCAGATTCACCTCAAGCATGTGCAAACAATAAACAATTGGAGGCCATCGCTTCTAGGTTGGAGGCCATTGCTCTTAGGGTTGGAGGCCATCGCTATTAGGTTAACCTTCCAGACAACTTCTTGAAACTTGACCACACCAAAAAGATCGCAACTCACTCATCCCAAGATCGTGTGCATGCAAGTGACCTGTAGAAACTTTCTTGCTTGTGGTGAACAGCTCGAGTTGTAGCTGATTGCTGGTCACGTCTTCACCACATCGATGGCATTCGCTCATCCCTGGTTCATCAGTCCAATTACCGAGGCCACATGGTTGGCATTCCATCATTCCCTCCTGAATGAGAGTTGAAAACACCTTTGGGGCAAAGAATCTCAAAGCAATCAAACACATATGATTTGCAACAGAAACATAAAATTGTTTGGTGACTGCTTTTACATAAATGATTTTCAATGTTGACCTGGCTGTTCCTGCTTATATATGGGTTTCCCGTTTCTGTTCCGTCTGCCATTGTATGTATGCATATACAGTGATTCTCAGAAGGATGACCAGAAGTCCTGAGGAGCAATGCTGCCAGCTTCACATGGTTCACAAAATGCCTCTCCTGGCAGGCTCTGATGCCTTCCAGTTGGGCAGGCTTGGCAAATCCGAGTTTCTCCAGACTCCTGTGCGACTTGAAACCGAAGAAGCGAACGAAAAGGCTTATGGAAATGGAAAGCCAGTGAAACGTGGGACTCGAGAGGGGGAGGTGGACGAACGGTTTCTCAAGTCGGGGAGGTGTAGACATGAAAGAGTCCGTTCACGAAAACTAATAGAAGAGCCGATTTCATCCGATGGACGAGAGGGTGTTTGATCCTGGTGACTGCTCCTTTAACTCTTTGTTTGTTAATTCGTGGCGCTCTTTCTGCATGTTTGTGGGACATATTGGCTGCCACAATTATATAGACGTTGTCGTGGGTTTCGTTGACTTGAGCGGCTTCATCGGATCCAAAAGGGCTATCTGCTTTAGCCTCTTGGAAAGAAAGGATGAGGCTTAAGGCTCTGCAGATAGACAACCCTTTTTCTGTAGCATCATAAGGTAATTGTTTAATTGTCTGGCTTTCATACCAAGAGGCTCCCTGTGTGTTAGCACCCGCTAGCTACGGTGACGTCAGTCCCATCGCCTCCTTCTTCCAGATTGACGATGGGGATTATCAGTTGCCACGTTGCTGTGGCAACGACAAACCTTACACTGTCCATTTTCCGGATAGTTTTTTTGACGGCTGTATTTATTCTTTTCAATTGCAGTGATGACAAGTGTGCTGGTGAAATGAACTCTAAGTGTCGAACCTACGGTCCCTGCCCAGCGATTAAGACCTCTATATACGCAAACTGCAAACTCTCAAAATCAATCCAAAGTCGACAGATCCCATCCCAATGCATTTTTGCTAAAGCTGCTGAAGCAAAGCAAACTCAGGTGAGGTGGGAAAGGTAGTGAAACGTGGTTGGACCATGTAGGACTCGATGTGCGCTAATTGGAGGGTGGTGCGTTGCAGCTCAAAATGATCCACGCTGATGTGATCCCGTGGCTAGTTGACATATATAACTATTTGTATGGTAGTGATCTGTGTTGATATGGTGATGTTGATTGAGATTCTATGTCGGAGCATCAACTGAACCCTGGACGCTTATATGGGGTCGCGCTGGAGAGCATGCAAGAACACCACCTCATCAAAAGCTGCCCGCAGGTCAAGAATGCAATGTATTCTTCCGCCACAATAGTCAGGTCACTGTCCATGGTGATTGTACTTTGAAATTTGCATTGATTCGACGCTACCGTGGAAAGGCTTGGCAATTCCTTGTGTGTTGACAAAGGCATGTTATCAGCTAAAAACTCTATGAAACTTGGCCTTGGCCAAACAGATTTCACAGAAAGCCTGAAGGTCTAGCATAGTCAAGCTGCTTTCTAGCTCCTCCCAGTTGTCCATGCACGATACTTGGATTTCTTGAGAAGAGCACTTCAACATAAGGTACAATGAATATGAGGGAGACCTGGGATTGCCAGATCCTTTCTGGCATGGCATTCAATTCAGCTCTCCTTTTAAAGTTTATATTCCTTTGTTTTCCCTTGAGCAGCTCCTTTGGCCTTTGGCTTCAGCTTTTTCAACGCGTTTTTGCTGCTGTCCATGATACCGTCGTCCCATCAAGATAAAGGAAAGGAAAGGAAAGCGGGGCAGTTGTTTTGAGCCTATTCCTGCAAAGTTTCATGGACGTCCACGAATATGTTCCAAGAATTCAGTAGTTGTAGCGGTTGGATTGGCAATGCTTGCAATGAGTGCTTGCCGGAAAGCCTTTGCCCAAGATGCATTTATATAAATGTTCCACATTACTCTGTGTTTAATGCGCAATTCCATCGCAGGATATGCTGTGCATCAGGTGTCTCGATGAATTTCTCAGTCTCTCAAGGTCCATAGGCTGAAGGTAACTGACTGAAGGTAGACAATCCCACGCATCCAAACGAGTCTGCAGGCAAGTGTGACCAGTCATGGTTTACGCTTCATGCTGGCTAATCATTCCAGTCACCCGTGGCGTCAAGGAAAAGCCATCTGTGGTGATTTTGAGTGATCTGTGGTGACTTGCTGCATTCCATAGGAAATTGTGGTGATCCACGTGGTTTGTGGTCATGGTGAATTGTAGCGATGCTTGCTGACTTGGTGTGCTTGGTTGAGAGGAACATCTTTAATTCCTTAGTTAAACATAGAAGTTGTGTAGATATAGAGCATCATCAAGAGCCTGTACAAGGGCGAATTCTTGGAAGATTAGCGCAGCTAACAAGTGGAACTAATCTTAAAGAGCCTTGCTCATCCAAACAATGCACCCAACAACAAGCAGCTTTAACTGTGGTCGGAATAGACTAGATTTGGAAGCGTCTATATACTAAGACCGATACCTCAAATATGGTCTGATGTAGAGTGAGACCCTGCAGAAATCAAGACAAAGACTTTGGCGCCAACAGGCGCCTACACCCCTGCCACTTACCTTTTCCTGCAACACATAGATCTTTCGGACCTTGAACGCTTCCAGTACAGGATGCCAACAAACATCCCTTCAACCATGTCAATAAAACATTGAACATTGAAGTACTTGCGGACAACAGCGGCTTCGGTGAGGAAAGTCAACATGTTCAGCATTGCTGTATACATGTTATACTATATTGTACAACCACGTAACCACATATAGATGTCGGCACAACTTTGTGTGATGTTGTGTGCATGGTGAATGGTGGCATACTGAGGACATCTGAGTATCCTGCATTGATTTGTTCATCAATAAGCTATCAATCAATTTGAGCTGTGGACCCTCAAAGAGTCCACCTATCACCCGTCCTGCGAGCGTGTTCCAACGGGGCAAAGAGTACATCCGACGGCACTTGCACGTTCCATGACATACTGGCCGTTTGCATCCACCAAGCCACTGCCCCGAGTGCAAGCCGTGTCGCTCGGGACCCACGGCTCCCAGATTTCAGGCGTTGAGTTTTGCAACAGCCAGGCGCACGCAGAATCCCAATGGGTGGAAGATGAGTTTTGCATCAATGATGCATGCACCCTAAGGATATCCCTAATCTCAGGCGCTCTGATTGACATGGAACGGGCTAATGCCAAGGCTCGGTCTGCTGTGAAAGGGAGGCCCGAAGCTGACCATTTGGTGAGTACGTACTCTTGCATTGCACTGCTGAAAACTCCCTTCAGGTATGCTGCAGGGTCATGAGGAGGTAGAATCACCGTAGTTGCATTTTCCTCGACAAAGCCTACATCTGGCTGCCACCAATAGATAAAACTCTGCAATTCTTTGCCAAGCGATACATATTCTCCTGCGTGTTTCATCAAACCCGAGGCATTCTCAAGCATTCTCAAACATGCATGTTTTGCCTGTCAACCTTAATCCACAGAGCTCTGTCCTGGGAGGGCAACTCCGAGGGCGATGGGCATGTTATGGAAAGCCACTGCCTGCACCAAATGGCCCATACCCCACCCAGGCCAACCAGTGGTGAGTGTCGAGCAGTTCTGCGGGGCATTGCGGCAAGCCGGACTGACCCACCACTTTTCCTGCCAACACTTAAATCTCACCTCGCCCTCGGTGGTGGTGTACACACCTTCAGTGTCTCCTGTTGCCGCTAGGTAGTCAGACGCAAAAAAGCCGTAGCCTGTATTCACACCGTCATCGCAAGTTCCAAGCCTGGACAAATTCACATCTGAAACCCTCGCAGTGTAGTCATTCACCTGCAGGGTTTGAGGTCTTGTGTAACGTGAAACATGTACAGACCAATTAAGATCAAAAAAGCATGAATAAGCCAAAAAATCATGGAAAAAAAAGACGATGAACAGCTGCTGTCACCCTTGCTCTTGGCTTTGCTCCAAAAAAGCAACATGTAACAATAAATGTCGAACCCTGACCCGAAACCAATCCGCATTGTAGTTGCGGTAGTACAGCAACGAGAGGCCGCGATCTGACAGCGCTCGATTGATTGCGCCGCCCAAGACGTGCAGTCCTTCTGTGCCTGGATAACCCACACCTCCCAAATTCACAGGCCCTCGATCTCCAAGTTCTTTTAGCAGGGTTGGGACGTATTGCTGGTAGTTCCCCCAGCTTTCGAACGAAAAGTGGAAGCGTCGTGGTGCTGAGAAGCATGATGCTGAAAGAACATCAGATTCGTTGCAACCTGCGAGGCGAAAAACAACGGAATTGCTATTGCTGGATCCGCCCAAGATCTCCACGTTGTAGCCCAGTTTCTCTGATGCCAAAATCTGAAAAATTCGTGCAAAAATGAGGCCTGAATCCCAGTAAAGATCCCACACGCCGATCGGCATACTCACACCATCCATGGTGATATCAACACGATCCGCAGGTTGAATGGCATCCTTGAAGCACGTCTTTCCCCTGGCTGAGCTTCCTAGGAGACCCAGTAGGATACATTGGACACCACGGAGCCTCCATGCCATGTCGAGCACAGGCAGGAGTCAAAATCTCTTGCTCGCTGCAAGGCTGCAAGGTGATCAACATGAAATTTGCAGAGTACGCACGAAGTGAACTGTGGGAATGCAAGGAGCACGGAAGACGCAACATGCACAAGAAAGCCTGAGCTCTATATTTTCCCGCAAGATGGTTCAATCAACATCTCTCCATGTCAACACTAGTGCAGTGAGATTGTCATCACTGGCGGCCTGAAAGCGTTTGTCCAAATTGTAAGACAAGCGATTCGGATCGGAACCTGAACGTAAACGTGTCCAACATCAACTCATCAGGGTTGGCACCAATAAGAAGCAATGAAAGGCTGAGTGTGTTTTTCATTGCTAGCGGCCTCTTGCTTACAATCTCTGCGACCTTTGCTGCTCTCCCCTAGGCTCCAACCGCAAAGGATCGGCGAACCAGTGCCAACGCTGCTTCCTGTGCACCGGCCTGTGCAATTGTCAAGTCTGACCTGTGAAACCTTTCGGCCTTTAGAACATTTAGAACGTGATATTCCGATCAAGGCAGTGTTCTGTGCTCAGTTGCTTGCTTGACTGGAGCACACTGCCACTGCATCATCATCCTGTAAAACGTCCCAGACACCTTGGCTCTGTCCGATTTCTCAGCGAGGGTTTGAGGGCCAAATCAGAAGCTGCAAGGCATGATCATTCTACCAATTATATAACAGTGTTTTGAATGGCAAATGGCAAATACTTCGTCCTTAGTTGGTATCACGGTATCAAGAGTGTCACAAGTTGTGGAACCTCCTAAAGACCCAGTATTCTCAGTCGGACACCATCACAGGCCAAGATGAGGAAACGATCCTCGCCAGTGTGTCAATGTTGCATGACAAAACCCAATCCTCTCCAGGTCAGGCCCATGCAACAGCCCAGGTGAACTTGCGGAACAGTGCCTCAAGCTACGCCTTTAGCCAGCATCTACAAACAGGTAAAGCGGCACTTCATGAAACCAGCCTAGTTGAACATGGAGCAGCTTTGGAGAGTTCTCATCAGTTCTGACCCTTCCGCATAACCCATGCCAGGCTCTGCTGATGGTGTCCAGAACAAGTGGACCCAATTGCTAAAAATTGCTTTGTTTCCTGGAATCACCAACGGCAGTCTTGGCACCTTCTTGGTTTTACGCATGGCAATTTCATGTGTGTACTTGAGTCATTTGAGCATGTCATCTGCTTTGCAGAATGTTGCTCGTTCAACGGCAACAGGCTGCTTGAGTTGTTGTGCAGTCTTCTTAGCAAATTAGGATGATTAGGGAAACCTCGTGTGACATGCAAATATATATATATATACATATAATATACACATGCAGCCTGTTTACTCACTTGCAACTAGGTACACTTGATTTACACATGGAACAATCGCTTGTGAAACGTTGTACTTGGTCCACTCGGTCCCTGGCCCTGGCCCTGAGAATCCTCTCTGAAGTGCTCTAAGTCTTCGAGAACATCCACAAGGTGGTCTTGCAACAATGCTGCTGCTTTCCGTTGCTCTTGAAATCTCTCGCACAGCCTTTGAAATTTGCTGTCCAAGTCTGCACTCTCCTCGACTATTTCAAACTGCAATTGTTCTGAATTGGACAATGCATTTGATGCATTTGTGGTGGCAGATCTTTGGCTGGTTTCACTCGCCTTGTCGACCAAGGATATTACGATCTGTTGAGCCCGGTCCAACAACGGCTGCAGTTCTTGCTCCATCTTCTCCAGGGTCTCGAAGAGATCACTTTTCCCGAAACCAAGGGTGTTATGTGTCGGTGGACCGCCTGAACCAGCTTGTGATGATTTGCGGTGTCGAGCAAATGCTTCCTGTTTTTCACGTCCAACGAAACTGGTATATGACTTGCTGTCTGACCTCACTTCTTCTAACCCAACAGCTGCAAGAAGCCTGTTCTGAGCTTGCATCACTTGTGTGTGCTGGTCATGCAAGGTTTGCATCACTTCGTCCCTGATCAGCTTACGCAATTCCAGCACGGAATAATGCACAAGAGAATGCATGATAATTGGATCCCGCTTCAGAAAGCCGCCGATATTTTGGCAAAATTCCAAATACGACACTTCCCCTGAGCTATCACTGTCCAAAACACTGAACACCGTTTGCATTTCGTCCCGCTTGATGTCCATCTGTTGCATGAGCTTCCGAAAAGACTCCAGCTGGTCATAGCCATTTTGCATTTCTTGCAATGACACAAGACCGTTGTTGTTTTGGTCCATGCTTGCACACAACTTCGCAAGGTCAACCATGCTCTTGGATCTTTCTTCCTCTTTCTTCTTGATCTTCTGTTCATGATCGTTTTCCCGGGCCTCTGTAGCACGCCTCATGTTTGGAGAGTTTGGGATTGAACAAAGAAGTTTCGCGGAAACAGAACACATCTCAACCCCGCCAATTGTTACAACAACACTTGGTCCACAAGTATCAAAATTCTATTTGTTTTTTTGAAAGGCACTCCACAATAACTGCCAAAATCAAGTTCATCATGCCCAGTCCGACGAAAATCATCACGGCAAAAAGAAGGACACCACTCAATGGGTTTGCTTCGATCAACGGTACGGAGATCCCGCCCCATGAGTCACCTGCAGCAAACGGGAGGACACTTGGCATATTTTGTTTTTCTTTGTTTCGAATAGCAAGCCACCAACCTAGAAGCGATGGCCTCCAACCTAGAAGCTACGGCCTCGTCAATTTTGTCACATGGCTACATTTGTTGCTCACTGGGTCGTTGCTAGGAAACTGCACAAACACTGGCATCTGTCGAAAGAGTAGCGGCCAGTAGGAAACAATAGCCAGTGGAACCAAGCGGTGACTAGGGGATGCGAGCGACTCTGTCAAGGGTTCCTTTAATCTTTGAATAGAAAAGCAAAGGGCTTCTCTGTTTCAAACTGCAGGAGCTTCATTGGCACTTTTTTGGTCGTCAGCAGCAACATCAGCAATCGTAGTGGAAAGTGCAGCAGTTGTGGCAGGAAAAGGAGCTGTGTTATCTGTCGATGCAGCCAAACCCTTTGGAAGAGTCATCATAATCTACGGTTGTGCAGTGCAGTATATGGGTGTCTGCAAGAGGTGATGTGTCTTTGAGTTTGCCCCAGATCTTGCATTGGCAGTCTGATAATTATTTGAACCTGTCGTTGCTCTCCTGCAAGTCTTTGACCTGCAACGCGTCTGTGGTCAGCTAAACCGGATGTAAGTCTGCTAGGTTTGCTTCCATGTTGTGCTCGTGATGGGTTCTGGCCAAAGCTCGGTCACTCACAGCACGGGGATTACGGGGACTGTGGCAGGTCAGGTGCTAGCACTGATTTTGCGAAGTCGCCGAACGAACCACAAAAATACCTGCGAGAGCCAAGAGAAATCCGAAAGTTTCAAGTACTTTTGACTGCGGGGTAGGGAGTCAAAGGCTGTTCGAACATGCTGTATGGATTTTTTCTGAAGATGATTGAACATACTTCAACAAAATAGGACATAATTCCAGAGAGTGACCTGCAACAATTTGCTGGAAAAATGTCACGCCAGCTGAAGCCACATCTTGAAAGCTGCGCTGACAACGGGTACATGTTTCAGGAAAAGTATCCAGGGCTGATACCACTGGGTGCAGCAGTTCCACAGCAATGACTGCCCAAAACAAGATCACTATGACAAGCATCATCGAGCCAAACAAGATCGCTTTGATCGAACTGTAAAGCCCAGTGATCAATAAGTAGAATTCTGGCACGGAGATGAAGACCCGAACAGCGCGAACCACACGCACAAGCCGTGTGAGTCTCAGCAAGCTCAGATTTACCACTGATGCCAAGATCAAGCTCAACCATCCCAATATCATAGTCACCAAGTCGATCATATTCCAGGCATTGTACCAATAGTGGGTGCGCTCCACGAAGAAGCGTATCCCACACTCAAAAGTGTATGTCAGCAACAAAATCAAATTCAGGATGTTGATCCATGAGCTGGCATCGCTGCGGTGCGGACAATCTTGGAGGTTATTTGCAAATGTTGGATAGCACTGCGCATCGCGGTCTGCCTCAAACCATATTAGAATCAAATTGCTCACTATAACTGCTCCCATCATGGTCTCAAATCCTTGCGAGAACACCATCTTTGCGACTTTGATCCTCAAGGGTGACCAAATGAGCGTCCCGTCGACATCAAGCCAGGGTTTCCCTGGGCCAAAGCTGTTGTAGCGAAGGCTTTTCAATCCTGCGAGTGTGCTCTCCAAGTGATGGGTATTTGTAGCATTTTCCACTTCTTCTATTGCAGCACGGGGTGCTGCCGCCACCTCAAAGGAATCCTTTGTCCCCACCATGGCGAAGTGATGCGAAGTGAATCAAGGACTGTGAACTGGGGCCAATCTCATCTCATGTGTTCTGGACCTGCTGAAGAGGCACAGCAATCATGTTCTCAAAGAAGCTTGCAAATGATAACCTGCTGAGATATGCAGCACTAAGGCACTAAGTCAGCATTCAAAGTTCAACAGGGCAAACAACTAAACAAACAATGGACATCTTGAGCACTCCACTTGTGCTGGTTCAAGGTCAAAAACTCGAATCTCTGGCATGGCTGTGATGAGTCCACCTGGCCTTGGCTGCCAATCAATCTACAATGTTCTGCCTATGGAGCCTATGGATCAATCGATGCTCAGTGCTCAAAGGTAATGCTTCCATTTGTTTAACACACACACACATGCTAGCTTCTGGTGGGCACAAACGCGGACAGCAAAACATGATTTGAGAATTGAGAAACAGCTGTGTTTTGATACACATTTAGCAGACAAGAAAGAACTTGCTAGAATAGACTTGGACCAACATGGTCTACAATGCCCAAAATACTGCTGCATCAAACGCTACAAAATGCGCTTTCAAGGTGTGATGCTTATCGCACGGCCGACAAACTCACACACCTATATACTTGCATACAACAACACACAACGACCATCGAGTTGTCTTGAGTTGTACAGCACATTGTGATATGCAAGCACGTGAAAAGGGAAAATCTTTGCACACTTCGTGAGCATGATTAAACGTGCACATACCATTCCAAACTCAATGTCATACCTAATCGAATGTCAAATTCAATCATGCCCACGCCCAAGCTCCTGCACCATTGACGACTGTATATACATTAACTGTTTCAAAGTATTTACCTTGAATTGCTAACGCATGCATGAATAATCATGAATGCCACAAACAAAGGAATAGCAGTACCATGCCGCTGGTCATCATACAAGCAGGTATATGAGGCCCCTTTTGCAACTCATTCTCCATAATAAAACAGTCCTCCAAGATCTATAGCGTCAAAAGCACCTCCAATATGTTTCAACTGTATCAATAAAGCTGTCCGCATTACTTTATCGACTACTATATCAAAAGGCACCAACACTAGCAAATTCCCCACAAAGGCTGAAGAGCTATTGTCAACGAGCTACCCAACTTGGAGAATTTTAGGTCTGACAAATGTGTAGATCCGAGATTCCCCCACAAGTCCGAGGTGTACGAAAGTAGTGGACATTGCCGCACTTCACATCAATATCCATGACATCTACCTAGGTTATCTTGCAGCAGGTATCTTTAATGCACTTAGTTTAATGCACTTAGTAGTGTTCGACTCCATGCTACTTGGAGTTTTGGACAACACAAACTGTTTGAGCATATTGTTGCTTGGATTCAAGGTTCCCCAAACAAGTTGCTTCATAAACCGTGAATCCCATACCAAGGACTTTTGACCCTCACCCCCCCAAAATTTGTCCCAACATATCTAATTTTCTCTTTTTTAAAATGCATTCAAGATTTGTGGACAAAATCCCCGGCATCTTCAATTGTGGCTCCAAAAGCAATTTTTCAGACTTTTGGTTTGCCGCCAAACGGTCTTTCTTCAAGAACCATTCACTGACCATTAGTCTCTCTAGCAACTGCCCCCATGTGTGAAATGAATTAAGAACGTGTCCAAAACATCTGAAACGTGCCCAAAACGCCGGAAACTAGCATGACATATCAGAAAAGTAGGTATCGGGGGTATTAGTAGCGATGCCCTTGTTACTAGTAGCGATCGGGAGTATTCCAATGTATTCTATATATTTTAAACACATAAGTATATAGTTTAATTTATGCATTGTTGAGGATCCCATGCGACATGCGACGCGCAGTACGGAAATTGATGGAGGTTTTTAGTTGCATGGTTCGACGCGGCCGGATAGAGTATGGCATGAATAAAGGGAATGATAACTTAAGTACGGATGATAACATTGGTCTGACAAAATGAACAAGAGAAGAATCTTGCTGCTACGGGTAGTGTGTGTTGCTGTAACCAAGAACATTGCCTTCTATACATTGGACTTGCAAAAGCATCTGGAAGACTCGAAGACTGCAAAGAAACAGGAAGGCCCAAAGGCCGAGCTGAGGCACCAAGCAGTACTCCCATGCACCCATACCTCTCTGGCTCCTTGCAGAGCTTTATCTGGATCATCTAAGGGTCCACGGTCAAAGACCGTGGTGTCATGTTGTGTCGTGCTCTTATGTGTTCTCCACACGTTCTGTCAATGCGAAAAAAGAACCTTGAGTCGCACAGTAGCAGGTATATATATGTATATATATATATACACATAGGAGCAAGAACACTACTAAGGGCTCCTAGCCTTACTACTAGGAGCAAGGACGCTACTAGGGGCTCCTGGCATCGCTACTAGCAACAAGAACGCTACTAAGATCTTCTATGCTTTCCCAGGACCGGTCTGGAGTGACCGTGAGTGACCCATGAACCCCCACTGCAACGCTGAAACATGCAGTGCTGAACGGGAAGTGGACACGGTCAACACGTCTCTGAAAGACCTTTCACCGTCTTTTGACACCATGTCTATGCTGAAAGAAACTATGTTCTTCTTGCTGGGCCCAAATGGATTGAGGATGATTGAATACATTCAGCGGCTTCTTGAATAGGTTGGTTCATACGCTCGATCTTACAAAAGTAAAGCAGGGATCCCGATGTCAACCGGGAATGATTTGAAATACTACAATTTCTTGTGAGCACAGCATAGCTCTGACCAAGGCACCTTCAACAGAACATCTCCAAAGGCCCTGGACACTGCGAGGCCTGGGCAAAGGCCAGCCCAGCTGGCCCCAGTCCCAACTGGAACATGTCTGTTTCCTCGAGCATCCCATTCAAGTGTCTAAATCTCATACAGTTGCCCCAACTCGTTCTAATTCTAAATCTCCACCAAAATAGATCTATTCAACAATATACCGCAGACTCATTTGGGATGGGCTCCTTCCTATAATCGGTCTACTATGGCCTACTCAGCCTGGGTAAATGTGCTTCTGGCACAGTTTACGTCCCAACGTCTTGACGGATTTGAAGACTTGCCTAAAGTCGACTGAGGCTTTGACCCCATCGAGCTATGTGCTTGCCTGCGAAATTTGCTGGGCCAGGAGTAAAGACCTGATTCGTAGCTTGGTTGCCCATCCATCTCATTGCTGCAAATGCTTCCTGTTCTCATTTCTTTGCACTATATATTCTGAGCATTGATCGCGCCAAACCCCCTGGAGGTCCACAATGCCCCCTTTGGCCTGCAGCACAATTCAGCCACTATAGAACAAATGGCGGAACACTCTCCCTCTGTATGTGGCAGCCTTATTGAAAGCATGAGGAACGGAAAGTAGGCTTTGGATTGAGGATTGAGTCAGACCTTTATCATCTTTATCAATGCCACAGCGAATTCACATCCTGTGTCTTCCTTTGTTGGCTCATTGGACTTGACACGCTTGAACTTGAAGGTGCGCACACGGAGTCGCTTACTTTGACTGTGTGTTGTTGAGGGCACGAAAAAGGACAAACAACAACTACAAACCACTGCCGCTTACTAGCTTAGAGGATCGTAGCCCCTGCAAGTCCAAACTTGGTTCGGCAGTTGACTGCTAAATGCAACATGAATTTACTATGTGCAGGCCCAACCAAAATGACCGCAAATGCTCCTCGATTCGCTTTTGCTCAGTTGGAACCTGGCAAACCGGTGCATGACAAAATCTTGAACACATGCATCAGCTATGCTTGCTATGTTAAGTTTTCATCCAAACATTTTGAAACACCACACCATCATTCATGAACTCCCTGGAACCAAGTTTTCACACAAGCAAACACATCCTAACAGCTTCATGCACTAGGACGCTCACGATTGGCTTGTGATCTTCTGAGAGACGGAAGGCATGCAAATGGGTTTCTTCTCCTCGAGAAAAACATCGACATCCACATGCTTCAGCACTTCAGCATGCTTCTCCAAAAGGAAGGAACTTGCTGCCTTGAGCTGTTGCCCGGCATAGGACTGCCCGTGAGTCACCAACATTGGCAATGAGGATGCGACTGGGCGATTGGTTACACATTGGTTTGCAGCAAGAACTGTCCACAAGATTCCTGAACAAACATGAATGGGTCGTCATATTACATATTTGACTCCACTGCACTACATGTTACGTACTTTCTTTCTGCAAACGAAAAGGATTTGACCATGCATTCACTCTAGTTTTCCTAGCCTTACACATTTTGTGGACGTGGGGCACCTGCGACAAATATGTGATTAAAGTCCATTCTACATCCACAAGTACTAGTATATGGACCCTCGTCTTAAAGACATCTTGGCAAGGAGCTTGCGCCATTCACTGCAGTTGCAAAGGCACAGGAATGAGCCCATTCGGAATGAGTATCATTGATGCGGCTGCAGGAAAGCCTGTAGTTGTAATGAAACCAATTTCATCATTATTATGAATCGTCGGCATTCTGGACACCAAGTTCCAGGTTCTACTTTAACAGAATTGGCTGCTTGTCTGCTGGCCCCTCGATCTTCTTTTTTGTGTTCCTTCCTTCCTTCCTTCCTTCCTTCACTTGCATGTCTGTGTGTGTTCTTGCAATTCCTAGTTGATCAACACACAATGTATTCACAGTGTCGGATTGCTTACTGCAGCACCTGTTTGTGTTTGGTTTTACCCCGCGTGGAACTGCTTTTCCGCTCCTCATTTACTCGGCCAACTCGAACCGAGACTGGGCCACCCTGCCAAGAGCCAGGAGCTCGAACACCGTTGCTACCAGGCCGTGAATCCTGAACATTGGGAGTTTGGCGGCTGGTGCCATTGCATAAAATCGCAAAGTCTCCTCTCAACCCTTTCCTAAGCGAAGCCAAACGCTTGCTTGCTTGCTTGCTGGCTGGCTTGGCCTTGCTTCCTTCCTTCCTTCCTTGCTTGTTTGCTTGGTTGCTTGCTGGCTTGCTTGGCCTTGGCCTTGCTTGCTTGGCCTTGCTTGCTTGGCCTTGATTGCTTGGCCTTGCTGGCTTGGCCTTGCTGGCTTGGCCTTGCTGGCTTGGCCTTGCTGGCTTGCTTGCTTGGCCTTGCTGGCTGG